GCAAACTCATATGATCATGAAAAAAATTCTTTTTGTTATTTTTTTCATGTGTTACGATGTAATTATGTTTATTCCAGGATTCAAAAAAAAAAAAAATTCAGCGAGCAACTCCCTACCAATCATGATCATAAATTGCCGGATAACACCAATATTGGGCAAATTGTCGAATGCGGTAATTCGAACAAATGATTGGCTACACGTGCCGCAAAGCGGTACGTGCTCATTTGCCAAATTACCGTTATTCGACAATTTTCGTCCAATATTGTATACATAAATTGCGTTCATAAACTGTTCATACTATAACAAGAGAGTAAAAATATCCCGTCATGTAAAATTAATATGTCTTTTCATAAGCACACCACACCCTGTATACTGAGCCAATACGTGTAAGGCTTTAATTACGTTTATTATAAAAAAGAGGTTTATTAATAATCTTGGCTCAGAAGTTTTACCTATTTTTATTATTGGGTAACTCGAGCTTCATATGTTTATTTAAAATACAACAGTTTTTTCGCACATAGCAATCATATATAAAATTGATGGTTGTAGTGCGCATAAAAATTAAAAAGTACCACAAAATATTTTTGCATAGTTAGCATTGGCATTTTTCGAAGTTAGAGACTGTCTTAATTTCATTTTTTATTTGATATAGCATTTTTTAAAATCGTATAAATACGATTCTAAGTGATTGATCAATCAGAAGAAACTTACCTATAGGATTTAGTAAGTTTCTTTTCAATATTTAGGCGTTAATGTCGATGGGAGGAAATTGCTATCAGCAAATTACTAAATTATATATTTATGAAATTTTTGAGCATTATCAGTTCACTTTCAGCTTTTGATTTCATGCTTTTGATTTTTAGTAATGTTTTAATTTTTGGAATCATTGGTTACTTTCCGTTTGTTTTTCTGCATGATGAGTCACTAAAAGTATTCTACATATTGGGGTAACATCTATCTCTTTACCGGTAGTTAAAATAATGAAATTCAAATTTATGAATATTTACTTTGCTTGATGTTTCATAATATGAATTGTGATTTTGAAAAAAATATATGTTGCTGATGAAAGTATGATAAGGTGATAACCGTGATAACTCATTATTATTGAAGATTTCTTTTTAATAGATTGTTTAAAAAAAATTATGAAAAGCAGTTCGGGTTTTAGTAAAGGAGATTAATAGGATATATGTCGTACAAAAAGTGAAAAGAGAACTTGAAGAATATAAGGAACAAAATTTATCATTTGAACGAAAATATCCTGAACAATTGGGATCGGAGGCTGTTATTGGTCTTTAAAACGATGGAATTTATTAAATTATCAAAAGTCACCAAAGTTTTGATAATACTAAAGCAGCTAGTAGTATTTAACACTACATATAACTTTACTATAAAAATTTAAAGTTAGAGTGTGATAAAATCAATTAAATATATAAGTGGTTTAATTTAGTTATTATAAGGCTTTTAAAGATTTTGAATATTTTACTTAATATATTTATCATTAATACTTAATAAAAGAATTATGAACATGGGATGAAAATTTTAATTTGAAAAGGGGCTCATAAATCAAAAGGCACTAGTTAAAATGCAATTGATTCATAATCGCAATTCTTGAATGTGTGCAGGTTGGCGACGCATTAATCAATCCAAATATTTTGCGCCAATTAAAATATTCCAATGGTAACAATAAAATTATAAATTTAATATAGAAAAAAAACACCATTTTTTAACTTTATTTCTCTCATATTCTTGTTTAGAGATGGGTTTCATGCGTGTGCATGATTCCTCAATCGTGCGCATTAATGCGCATTTTATCCCATCTAAATTTTAT